TGGAGGCTCTGCTGTGCAACCATCAAACATGGTTAAGTGATCAAGGTCAGTGCTGGCTGCTTACCTAGAGCAAGTCAGCCTCCTAGAGCCCTGCTCTAACTGTCCCATAGCATCATCACTGCTGTCAGAGCTTCTCTGCCAGAGCGCTGAAGCAGGACCACTGAACTAGGCAGAGATGTGCCAGGGGAGACACCAGTGGGCCAGTTTCTCTCCTCTGATTCTCCTGGAGCTCAGGTTTAGTCCATTATTGCAATACCAGCACTGTGCTTGGAACAGACCTTTCCAAGCGAGAAGCCAGAGCCCCGGGCTCGCTGCTGCACTAGAAGAGATGGAAACTGAGCAATTGCTACAGCATCAGCATCTTCCTGAGGAGTCTCATCATCAGGCCAGTTACCTACGGAAAGAGTTTTCTACCTTTTGTATAAAGCTATTTCCGATCCCAGCATCGCTCTCCAAGAAGGTCAGGACAGATTCCCCTGGGAACTAACACTGATGCTACCAGCTCAGACATACCTCTTTCTCCAAATGGGATGGGTTACCCATTAACCAAATCCAGCTTGCTTCCATGGTGGTTTTTGTTTGCTAGATGGCTGGAGTGTCCTTTGTCATAGCTACACATCTCTCTCCCCAGCCCTTCCACTCCCAGATTATTCTATTAACAGGCATCAGTGTTGTTCTGAATGCTATTTAGGAAGCAAGATGATCAGTTTTCAACATTTTAATGAGAAATGTGACATTGTGCAATGGGAAGCCATGAACGCAGCACGGAAAGTCAATTGCTTGACCACAGCCACTCAGTGCAACACAGCAGAGATGCAACGGGCTATTCACCCACGCCCAGCGCATCTGACTGAATCACAGCCACCACCAGACAGGCCCCAAGGTGAAAGGAAAAAATTGACCTCTATTTGCAGAATAGACAAGCCTGCACTGTCAGCCTACTGCGTTACTGACACGATGGGTGGCAGAGAGATACTTCCACCTTTGCTTATCTTGACCAGCTACAAAGCCTCTGAGCACTGACACCACAGTACTGATCAGGCAGTCACGCAAATGATGTTGCCAGCGTACAGCTGGAACCATCCAGAAAGGCTAAACTTTGAGATTTTTTTTCCTTTCAATTGCTCCACTAGCAATAAAAAACAGTCAGAAGACTCCCACTAGAAATATGGAAACAGACTGGCAGAGAAACGGGAAAGCAAACCAAGCAGCAAAGGTGCCTGACCCTGACCACGCACCCCCACAGGGGTGATCCACATCCTTAAAGCTGAGTTAGAGGAACCCCGGGCAGCCCATGTCACATTAAAATGTTGAAAACAGCAGAGCACTAGGTCTGAGTTTGTCAGGTGAAGAGAGGGGCAGGAAGAGGTTGGAGAGGCAACATCTCGGAGGAGGCAATCTTACCGCTGATGCGCTGGCGGAGAGAACGTAATTACGAGGTCTAGTCTCCTGAAAGTCAGGCACAGCCTGGGGGGGGAATACAGTTTCATGTACAAGTCATGTGGAAGAGTCGATAGGAGTCAGTCGGGCAATGGATGGAAGAAGGGATTAGTGGTTTTCTCCTGTCTGTGCTGGGAGCTTGGTTCAGACTCTGATGGGATGGCAGGAGGGAGGTCTCCCCACAGCCTGGGCAGTGGTGCGTGGAAGCCAGGCCTGGGCAAGAGGAGGTGGACTGGCTTACACAGTCACAGCCGGTACCTGAAGAGCAGCTGTTCCTACTGTCAGAAACTCTGCCTGTACTTACAGCCATCCACTCATACAGCAGCCAGCTGGGGTGGAGATGGGATGGCACAGTCTCAAATCCCTTTCCCATTCTCTTGCAGCCAGCAGGTTGCTCACGTTGTGTTGGCTCAGTACAGTGGGCAGGACCTTCTTTCCCCTTGCTTCTCATCTACAGTCCTAGAAGTGTCCCCGTAGAGGGCCTTGTCCTTACAGTGGGCATATTTACTAGCATCAGAGCATCCTTTCCACAGTGCCTTTTAAAGAAACATCTACTTGTTCTTAGTCTCACCAAGCCTCTGAGCATGTTTCCTCCTAACAGACTCAGATCTGCTATTTTCAGTAAGGGGCATGGCTTAGCCACAGCAGATCTAGTTCAAAGCCTTGCTGTTGCCAAAGTTAGCGTATGAGTTTTCATCCCAGAGGTCAGAAAACCTTCAAGCCACCGTCTCCACAGCTAAACCTCTGCCCTGGGGCAGGAAGACTTAAGCACTCTGGAGGTTTTTCTCTTTGGGAATGCAAGGGATCCAGTCCACCCCCACACAGGTGTGGGCTCACTGACTGTCACACAACATGGTCTCTCTATTCAGCTAAGACTAGGCCTCCTCCTAGGATGGGTGTTGGCTGTAGCATCACCCAAAGAGAAGCCAAACAACTAGTTTACACCAGGACCAACACGCTGGTGTGCCGGATCAGGGCATCCTCCTGGTCAGTCTTTACTGCGCAGTGGTATGCAAGGCTGGGACACAATCCAGCTGTAACCCAGCTATGTTGCTGATCCTCTCAGGCCCCACATTTCCTCTCCCAGGTTAAGCTCTTTGCAGCTCACCCAGATCTACTTATACACGCTGACCCGATTCGCTGGGCCCTGAGCAGCCTGTTGGAATGAGTGACCAGTGTGTGGAAGAGCAGTCAGGCAGTCCCAACAAGGAGAGATTTTTTTAAACCATCTCGGAGTTTTGGGGATGTCTGGAGGAAGGAATAAGGAGGAGCGATTCCTATTACAAATCAAACCTGAATATAAGGAGAAAAATGTACCAGTGAGATTTGAGGCCAGCCCAGCCACTAGGTTTGACTCTCCCTGTGGGGAGAGGAGATGTTTCACAGAAATAGCTGCTTATGCCTGTTTTGTTTGGTTTTTTTTTTTTCCTAAATATCAAGAGCAACAGAAGAAACCTCTCCTCCCATTCTCTGGTCTCCAGAGAATCCCAAAAACTAGTCATAACACATGGGATGAAGGAGGCAAGCTGCTCTTGCACTCCTATGCATGGCCAAGTTGTATTTGCAAGCAGTGGTCAAAATGGACCCCCCTCCCTCCCCCTTCCGCTCTTGTAATGGGTAAAACAGGCAGAGCCCTGGAGCCTGGAGGACAGAACAGCACCACCACCAGATCAACCTGCCTGTCATTGTCTCTGGGCTGCTTCCCTTCCAGCAGAGGGGCTTGCCACCCAACCTGACCTCCTCCTGCTTGCAGCCAGAGGAGCCTGAGTGGGTCTTTACAGCAGCCCCCGCCTCTCTTGAGCACTGCTTGCAAGCAGCATTGATGGAACTGAATGCATGCTCCAGAGGGGCTGCAGGCAGCCAGCAGACACTCCCGTCTTTCTGGGGCACCTTCCCCAGGCAGCCACAGCCCTGACCACGCTCAGTACATGCTCCAGGGCCAGTCCCAATGGGACAAGGGAGATATGAATTTTCATTTAAAATGGGAAAGAGACAATGAGAGGTGTTAAAGAAAAAAAAAAAAAAATCACAGCACTGTCAGCACAGTCAATACTCACATCTCCCTCACACTGAGCAAATTACAAAGAAACAAAACAAAAAGGTTAGTAAACAAAACAGCATCAACAGGAAGGACAAAGCACAAAGTCCGAGGGAAATGCACATGCCCAGACACTCAAACAGCAGCTCACAGGTCTGGGCGGCAGCGTGCTGGGAGGGTCAGTCACGAGACAGAAGCTGTGGGAACACAAGTTTGTGCTATAGAGGGGAAGAACAGCAAGAGAGTGGTGAGCTGGGAGAGGTGCAATACTTTAGGCCAGCTTGGAGAGGTGTGACGCAGTCCTCCAGGCACGTTACAGGGAATGTTGTGGTCTAACGATGAGTTAACACACCTAGAGCAGAGGCAGCAGTTCTTTTCCCCCTATGCTGGGAGCTTCCACCTGTGCCTTGCCCTTTCGTAGTCACTGGGGCACCCTGAGGACAGGGACCCCACCTTTAAGCTAAGCTGGGTAAGAGATGGGTGCCCAAAACAGCTGAGGTGGCTCTTCTGTTGTGTGATCTCTGTTTCAAAGAAGCAGAGGGGCCGAAACGCGGCTTGGGGTGAACACCCTGGAAAGCCTGGACTGGCTCTGCATTCTGCCTGGGGCACTCTGGCCCTGCAGTTCCAGTGAGAAACCAAGCTTTTCTTGCCAGACTACAGGGAAGTCCCTCACTCAAGGGTCTGTGTGCAGGTGAGAGGCCTTAGGATCACTTCGCATAAGAAGCAAGGTATAGAGGAAGAGGGTGGAAAAGAACGAAGCACAGGAGGTGTCTGAATTCCTGCTCTGATTTGAGCTTAAGATCAAGCAACGGCCACAACTTCCTACTGAGACTGGGGGCACCATCGCCTTCAGAAAACGAACTGGGGATCCCTGAAATTACCATCCGTGGATCTGGCTGACCTGACTGATGAGAGGAGGCTTTTTTAAAAGGGCAGCTATGGCTTGTGTCCCCCCACGGTGCTGTTCAGGGCTTTCCCGCATAGGCCTGAGCACTGTGTTAGAACTGCCAGGCTTAGCACAGCTTTCCCATATGGCATGTATGCAGTCAGAGATGGAGAAAAGGTAAAATGCCCAGGAACTGGCCACCCAGAGAGCCACAAGGCCAGAGGCCCAGCTGAGCAGATGGCTAGAAAATGGGCTCATGGCAGGGCTCCTAGGCTGGTGTCCCAGTGCATCCCAGAGACTGACTGACAAGGATTCCTGCCTGTTCTGATTGCACGTTTGCTAGTTGAGCTCCTGGCCCCAGGCTAGAAGCAGAACTTGGCAAGTGCTTGTGCCAACAGCCAGAGCGCTGCAGGATGGCAATCTGCTTCAACAAGGCCCTCCAGGGAGCCCACCAGCGCCCAGCTACATCCTCGCTGCCTCCTGCTACACCGCCTCTGCTCAGGAAGAGCCCTGAGCCAACAGGGCTTGTCGGCCTCAACAAGCACTCTGAAGCGCTTGGCCCCACTGCTCAGGCCTGCGGACGCTGACACTGGCTGACCTACCAGTCCCTTCTGCGCTGCTCTGACCTGGGACCTTTGCTAGTTCACTTGCCATGATTTTCCTAGAGCCAGAGGGCAAGACTAGCCTGTAACTAGACAGCACCATGAATTAAGTAAATAGAGAGGCTGAAGGAAGGATCTCTTGGGAGACAGTCTGACCCCAGCCACCACTTACAGGCTCCCCCGGCACTCCTACCGGGGGAAGACTGAGTTGGCAGAATCTTAACCAGTCTGAAAGCCTGGGACTCCTGCAGAGCCCCAGCATGCTTTCCCCTTGCGCACCTCCCAGCTCAGCTCTCTCTTGGCTTGCTTTGAGATCCCCAGGGAAACTTAGCAAGTGCTCAGAAGATGCAGCCTTTTAGTTACTAGCAGAAATCATCCAGTAACCACTAGCAGTCAGGAGACAGGAGCCTGGGTCAAGATGTTTCCAGACTCTGGAAGTTCAGAACTATTTGTTTCAACAACTCCCCCATGGGAGGGCATCTGAGGAACAGGTGCATGGCTCCTGGTCCCAGTTCCCTTGCATGAGGAATCCCCCCGCCCATGCCTGCCAGAGCCAGGACATAGTAGGGCAGCCTAATTTTTGTCTAGAGAGCATGTGGCATTACTCATGTGAGCCAACCCTGCGGCTGGAAGGACAGAGAGGGGAATGAGGGAAAAAGTTACCGCTGCTTTTGCCTCGGCAGCTTTGGCTTTCTTCAACCTGGCTTTGCAGGCATCCAGATCCAGGCGGCGGTTTTGCAGGATCCTCCGCTCTTTCTGGAAGGGACAGAAAATTGGATAAGAACAGACTGCTCAGGAGCTACTGGGGAGAGGGAAAAGGACAAGATATTATCTGGGAATCAAATCTATTTCTTTATCAAAAAATGTTAAGGAAAAAGAAGCAGTTGCTGTGTTTATCTCGTTAGCAAGAGTTTTGGGCCTGGCTGCCAGGCGTACAGGCTAACCTTCTGGAAACAGGGCAGCCTGCGGGTGGGTGGTACACACTCAGCTGCAGGAGTCAGGACAGGAGTCACCTTCCTCAGACACATCAGCTGGCAACCCCTCCCTGCCGCAGAGAGAGCTCTGAGCAGATCCAGGATTGGGATTCCCCTGTCCTCGCGTTGTTCAAGGGAAGAGGTATGTAATCCTCTTTTCCCACAGGGAAGGAAAATGAGTTCTGTCAGCACTGTCTCCCTCTGCCCCTGCCCTCCTTGTCTCTGGTGACATGACAGGCTTCCCCTTCCCTGATACCATACTTACAGATATGGTTCGCCAGTCCCCTTCCAGGAAGTTGCGCAGAGGGGTCAGGAAGTTGATGGAGGCAGAGTGGATGAAGTCCCGTTCTGCTGCACCTAAGCGCCTTTGAGTCTCTCCAACTTTTATCAAGGTCTTCCCTGCAAAAACAGGAGCCTTCAACTCCAGGAGAAACCAATTAACATTGTGTTGGCTTCAGCCAACTCACCCAGAGCTACTGGGCTCCAGTGCTGGGGGTACAAAAGCACAGCATACGCTGCCTGGACAAGGTGACCATGCCCATAACCCCCCAGCTCCAGTCCTAACTACAATCTGCTTTTGGCTTGAGGCCTTTCCTCAGCTGCTCCCAGTGCAGCTTTGATCTTATCTCTCTGCTGAGGCACTTATTCCACCGATGCCCTTTTACTGCTACACCTGCTTGCGCAGAACGATCTTTGCTTGTCTCATAAAACAGAGGCTCAGGAACAGAGCAGCAAACTGAAAAGCACCAGAGCAGAAAAAATGAGTTGATTAGGCAGTGCTGGCTATAGACGCAGTTACAGTTGTTCTGCCTGTAACAGGACTCTGTATTGAACAACTATTGATTTGGAGAGCAATAACAAAGCTCACGGCAGAGGCAAGGACAGCTGGAAGCTAAGGCTGTGCTTCTGTGCAGGTCTGCTGCTTAAAGAAGCCCCAGATTTCCCCAGGAAGGGGCAACTGTTAGGATTTAAGAGCAGAAAGATGCACTGTGGTCAGGAAGTGGTCTGTTGAGGCTTGTAGCCAAGCACCAAGCATCCCAATCTGTTATCCTGTTCTCCTTCTGCTGGAGAAAGATTTCCACCCTCCACCTGCAGGACACAATTAAAGGATGGTTCTCCTGTTCAGAGTCTAGAGGGCAACTAGATACCACCTTAGATTAAAAATATGCTCAAACTGGACAAAGCTAAAGCTATTCACTGCAACTCCCTGTTCAGGCTAGTTTAGAAAGCTACAGAAAGAACCCAGAATAGTTTATGCATCCTGTAACCAGTACCATTAGCTACCCTGAATCCACGTGTCTTTATTTCCTCTCTAGCTCTGCCAGACTCGAGGACTGGATTGGGAATGGGGAGACCCCTGCCCCTTTTCCCCCACAGCATGGAGCACGCTTTGCTGTGGAGTGAGGCTCGACTTTCTACTCCAGGTAGGCTGTTCGCTTCTGTGCTGGAGAAGACCTCTGGCATCAGCTTTGACACACTAATAGGCAGGTTGCCATTGGGGGAGCAGGCCAATCTGCCCCCTTCAAGAGGCATGCTATGGAAGTCTTAACCCAAAACAGCAGTGGGAATACTCTTTTAGGAAGGGATGGATTCCTAGGGCTTTTTAATTAGCCAGGCTGACTTACCATAAGGTGTCCCTGGCCCAAAGTCATTAGCTGCTTCTGTCATGTACTGTGCCAGCAGCTCCCCGTTGGTGACCCGGGAAGGCACCTTCCGGTCCAGCTTCTCATAGAGGAATTCTTCTACTCTGGCACCTGGAACGAGGATGCCACCAGTGGTTACAGGATGGAGGATGAAGGAGAGGCCCCTGGAACTGGCATTCATGGTGGCCCACCCCATGCAGTCCTCAGTCATGCATTGGATAGATGCCACCTCCCTTTTGACCATCTCCCAGTCCTCAGGAGTGCTGCCAGGCTGTGCAGGGCAGCAGCCAGCCATCTCCCAGTTACACAGTGAAGGAAGGAGAGGCTCTGCAAAGACAGGTTCTTCCAACACCCCCCAAACTCAATGAAACAGGGCACTCTGCCAGAGGGCATGTCTTTTAACACTGAGCTGCAAGTGTTATTTGTCCTTCAAGCACTAGAGGAAGCTGGACTTACTAGGGTTTGGCTGTAGCAGAACCTCAGTCTGACGCAAGATTTTCTCTGTCCAGTTCTTTGTGGAGTCTGCCCTGGCCAGAAGGCTTTCAAAGTGGGCATCTAGTTCAGTCTTCTCAGCCTGGCCCAACTTCTCTTCAGTAAACTGCAGGAAGGAGATAGTCTTTAGAAGGTCTGTTCTACTAAAGCAAAATTACAGCGTGCTATAAAGCTATTAAGAGACACTGAGGCTTCTTCTGTCTTACACGTTTATCTTAGAGTGGAGCTAAAAAGCCTTTAAGGTGTCATTTTTTTGTTCCTGGGCATCTTTCAGGGGAAGAGGGCAAAAATTTGCCCAAGAGTGGAACAAACATCGAGCTAAAAATAGAGCCCAAATCTGAGAGGTGTTCTGGAATAAGTAACTTTTAATAAGGTCTGGTTCAAAAATCTAGTTGTGAGGAAGCTATTTAAATGTGCACATGGCTTGCAGTACTTCATGTAGGAAAGCAACAGGCATCCTTCAGGTGAGGCAAGATGCCAACTCCCTTCACCTCCTCCTAACCGACTCCACCACCTCACAAATCACGCTTTCTTCTCATCTTATTAGACAAGCATGCACACAACGTCGGTTTTGCTACAGGGTTTGCGAGTGCCCTCTGACAGATGTCAGACTGACAGCATCTCAGCTTTGCCTCCTGGCTCACCTCCTGCTCTGCTGGCAGTGAGCAGCCGACGGAGCATCTGAGGTTTAAGAAGCCTCAAACTCAGGATTTAGATAAAAATGCTTCCAGCAAGTGACTCTGAAGCATGGTACTGAGAGAAATATAATGGTGTCTGACTTCTCTAAGAACTCGGATTCACACTGGCAATGGACTCTCCCTCCCTCCACGATTCCTTTTAAGTTTAAAATTGGCAGCAGGGAAAAGCGGGCTGTGCAAGTCTTCAGTGTTTTCATACTGGGCAGTGACATCTGCCAGGCAAGGTCTGTCAGTCTGGAGGTGCAGCATCAGATGGCCTGGACACCCCTCAATTCTTCCTTGGGGATTTCTGAGAAAAGAGCCCATTCCCTCTCATCCCATCCCCACTTTCCACTCGCTCCTCTCAGTGATGTTTGCCAACTTCAATTTATTTTTAAGCACAATTTCCTGCTCTTGATGGAAGCAGTATCTTGTTGGATTGTACTAAAAGACCCCTTTAGACAGCCATGCTGCTTGGGATCCTAAAGAAGTTGTAGTTGTCCTTTCAGCCCTTGTTGCTGGCCTCTGGTGCCACTGTTGAGTTACCAGGACGTGGTGCTGTACAATACCTGGTACAGTCAGGTGCCAAGAGATTAAAGCCTGGCCAAAACTCTTAGATGAAATACAACTTCTGTCTGAGCTGTCACTTGTACCTTCTCCTCTCCCCTCCCTTGTCCCACAGCTCAGCTCTACATGGGCCATGATGCCCTCTTCATGGCTTCTTGGTCTGGTGTCTGCTGCCCCTCCTGAAAGGCTTTCTGGCAAGCTCAGTTCCTGTGGCTGCCCAACAGCCTCAGCTGCATTCACATCCAGTACAATGCTGGGAACGGAGCGAGATAAGGAGCAAGCCCAGAACCAGCACACCAGGAGGCAAACAGCCTTTAGGAGTCCTATTACCAGCCCCGCGCAAATGTTACTAGATGTCCGAGATATAGAAGCCCTGCAGGTATGTTTACACAGTGACCTGTTTGGGCAAGACAGAGCTCGAGCCAGTGAACCGCTTGCTGGGTGTTGGTGGTGACAGACTCTCAACTGCAATGACAGCCACAGTCGCTCCTGCAGCCCGGTGGGGATAGAGGACTCGCAGCCATGCGTGACCAGGGATCGCTTCACCAGTCTCCTCCTCAGCACCAGTAGCCCCCTGGTTACTGGAACTCACTGTCAGCTCAGTCTTGCCGTGGCCCCGTGACTATTGCTGGACATGGCTAAAAGCAGATTCAAGGTGAGAGGGTGTTTGTATTGTTTTGTACCCAATGTCTATGATTGCCTTTGGGACACACACACAACCATCAGACACGCGTGAGCGGCTGAGGCTCTCTTCCTCTGTCACTGTTGGAAGCCCAGGGCTGTTTTCAGACTCTGCCAGGCTGGGCTGAGTCACTGCCATGCAGCAAACTGGGGCTTCCCAGGTATTTGGCACCAATTCTCGACTCATCTGTTTAACAGCTTTCTTAAGCCTCTGATGCAAGCATAACAGTCTCCCTTGCCCTCCTTTCCCAGACGGCTTTTTGAGATCTCATCTCACTTCCAAGTCCAGCTATTCTTCCTGCATTTTAGACTCGTCCTGCACCAGCATCTGCCCTGGAGCTGTCAAGCCTAAACCCAGTTTCTTATCAGCTGAATTTAGTCAGCTTCTTACAGCCTTGCTGCAGAGTCAGATCGCTGCTGAAGCCCTCCAGCATCTCCACAGTACTACTGCCAGCCTCCCGAATCACTGCAGCTCCGAGGTCCTTAGCTGTATCCACAAGCAGCATCTCCAAGCATCACTGTCCTCTGCGGCTGTTTTCTGTAACCCACCCTTCACCCGGTGCAGTGGAATAACACAAAACATTTGCACAGCACTTGGCCAGGGAGCTGCCAAGGCTCAGTCACTGGGTTCTTATCTCAGGTGAGGCACTAAAGCTGTTTGTCTTGCACAAGGGCTGAGGACACACACTGTGATCGCTGCAAGCCTGGGCTATACCAGAAGGGGTGGATAGGCAGGAATTTGAGTCACAGCCTGTGACTCCAAAGGGTCAGGCCAGAAAACAATGTCTTATTCAGGCTTTCTTTCAGAGTTGGAAAGCAGGGCATGAATGTCACGAAGTGGGTGCGAGGGCATGGGAGGCTGTAGCTCACATACTGGGAGGCTGTTACTCCATTTCAACCCAATTCCCTCAGCTTCTCCCTGACCCTGCCCAGAAACCAGCTATGCTGCACAGCCCAGATCCGGGCACAGCCTCGGGGCAGTTGGTACCACCTCACTGCAGGCTGCTGCAGAGCGTGCTCTTCTCCTCCCCTGTAACACCCCCTTGTCTGTGCACGGGGAGTCACTGATCCAGCTCAGCTTGACCTCTAACATGACTTTTTAGATGGATCAGAGAACTCGCCCAACTTCCGAGCACTACTGGGAATGTGTTGTCAGGTGCAGGGGAGGCCAGGACCACCTCTTGCAGGAGCAGCTTGCAGTGCGAAGGGGATTAAAGGTAAGTTACACCGCCTTATCCTGTGAGCTGGTTCTTTCTTATGGCTGGTGCAGATGGAGATCTGAGCTTTCAGGTGGCAACAGGTCTCAGCTGCTGATCCCCGCTTAAGTGGCTGCCCAAGTCAGTGTCCCCAGTGAAAAGCAGGGTAGAACAACAACAGTTTATGAAGTCTGGCTACTCAAGCATTTCAAGCAGAACTCCCCCATAGAGGACTTCTGTTCCTAAGAATTTGTTTTCATAACACAGAAATTTCATTACTTTTCCTTCCCATTGAACAGACGTTAAGCTTTCACTGTAAGGCCAAGAGATGCAGGAGAACAGACGAGCTGATCACACTCATGCCTCCCGACTGTCAAAAGACAGATTACAAATATTCTGTGTCTTGCTACTCCTGGACTAGAGGCATCGGTGTCTTTTATAGCACCAAATACTCCAGACTGCCACATTTGGCTGTATCAAGTTGACCTACAGGCTTGGTGAATATCTGCCTGGGAAAGACTTGGGGCAGGCAGAGCATAAGCAATTGCAATGCCTGGGGAGAACCTTAAGCTCCTCCATCCTCCTGCCACAGAACTACTCCCATTCGTCTTCTGGAACCTGATGGCTGGGTCAACAGCCCTCCCCTGAACCAGTTCCAGGATCTGCATCCTGGGATCATGAGCCAGGTCGCTGTGTGTGAGGCTCCACTGATCCTGCCCCGCAGAGAGCGTCCCTGCAGCTGACCGGGCTGAGGACCAGTCCCATCTTTCTGCAGGGAAGCCGATGAGGTATTAATAATGCAGGGCTGCCTTTTGTCGAGTGCCACTCTCACTCTCCAGGAAGAGGAGAGTCATGCTGCATTCCAGGGCATCAATAATTCAGCCAAAGGTTGGGTTTCCTCTGGGAGGCTTGGCTGGCCAGCAGGAACGCCAGACGCATTATCAGGGTCCCTGTGGGCAAGCAGGCCGGCAGATTGGGAAAGCAGCACTTGGATGACAAGCCCAGAAGCAGCAAGACCGTGCCGGACTGCGGTTAGGGCAACTGTCTGCATTCACAGCTCGGGTGAAAATTCCCTTTTCCCCAAGAGAGGTGGTTGAGAGACTGCTGGGATGGCAGGAGGTTGAGCAAGCAGAGTTGAGCTGGATGGGTCCCTCCACACTACAGCTACAATGTCAAGAGGGCTGTGCCTACAGCCCTAGAGACTTAAGGCTGTCAAGGTTATGCTTTAAAACAGCACATATGTTGTTTTCCTTGCTGAAAGCATTAGAGCCTTTCTCCCCTTTAAAGTGAGGGGAATAAAATCCCAGTGCTCCCGCTGAATCATGCCCGCACCACAGCTGTTTTGCACAACGCAGCACGGGTTGACTTTTGTCTCTTCCAGGCTTGTGTGGTTTTTCCATCCCTCTCCCCTCCAGCTGGCCCAGACCTGTATGCTGTGAGCTCCAACAGATGAGCTGCAGCCCCCTTGCAGAGGATCTGGTGACAGAGTTTGTGCCCTTGTACCACTTCTAGGGTCCCCAGTTTTTCCAGCTGGACATTACTTATGACTTTCCACCTTAAATCACAAAGATCAAACCAGGGCCAGGAGTCTTCAACCAGGAATAGTCTTCTGCACCTGCCAGTAGATTTGGGGTGCTGGATTTTCTAAAGCCTCCAGACAGCCCATACTGCCCAGGCTATGGTAACATTTGCTCTTTTGGTGATCAGAGGCACAACAAAGTTCAGGCAAATCTACCCCCCAGCTTGTGCAGGGTCACATTAGGAGAGAAGCCACAGCCACTCAGTCAGCATCTAAAAACTACCTGAATTTCAACAGCTCTGGACTGGATACAGAGTATGCTTCAAGTATTTGGTCACCAGGAGTCAGGAAAGCTAGGCCACGAGCCAAGTGAAACTGTGCTAGAGGACAGAAGGAAGCCATTAACAGGACAGCTTGGTTAACTCATGAGCAAGGTGATTAGGAGAACAAAAAATACTGCCCTCATGGATTCATAAGGCAGGTCTCAAATGGGAGCATGCTATAGCCTGTACATCTTGCCTTCAGAACACCCTTCTTAAGTCACCTCCCGTTCTCTCGATTTTATAAGGTGTTCAGCAACGAAGGTATCAACCCCAGTAAGGTCAGCAAGCAGAGGGGAAAAGTCTATTTTATCACCAGAGTTGAGAGATGGCGGAGTCTGTCTTTCTTCAGCAGCTTCAAGATAGAATAAGTCAACATCTACCTGCTAGTAGTAATTACATCAGCAGTGGGATAAGCACCCAAAAGCTGCACTCACGCTTGGGCAATTTCACCCAGAGCCAGTTTACATCAGAACTGACAACATACAGATACCTACAATTACTCCCAGATGTCCCTGAGAGAGCCTGGCTTGCAGCCTGTCTAGAACAGAGACACACAACGTGTTACCTTTGGAAGGAGAGATGCCAGTTCTGTGGGGAGGCTGTAGCTGTTAGCACAGCTTCCTCTGCAGAGGTTTGGGATCAAACCCACTTAGTGATAACTGGAAGGTGCAGCTGATCAAAGAGAGAGGCCTTATCCTTCTTTGGTGAAGATGGAGAGAATGACCTGTTTGAAGTCTGTCTGCATGTGCCACAGCTGTTAGGGGCTATGTGCTGGATCCCCTCTGAGGGTACTAACTTGATGGCTGTGACTCGTGGTGTAAGTGTCAAAATAGAGCAGGATACTGAATCCTACAAAAGCTCTCTATCCTTGAAGCTGCCCAAGCCTAGCAGCTTGTTCCCTGCTCCCAGGGTGGCAGAGATGACCACCACCTTCCTCCTCTACTTCATCTACTCTACTATCTGCTTTCCTTTTCTGAAGGCAAGCATAAGAGTTGCCACGAAGCCCATGGGACACTGCCTGGTCAGGGAGCTGCATGCACAAGCCTGGTAAAATATTTACTGCCTATAGAGCCCTGGGGAGATACTACACAGCTTCTTTGTCACAGCCACCTCCGTCCTGCTCCTGCTGGAGGTGGGTACAGCATTGCCCACCCAGGAGCACATAAGCCCTTCAGGCTGCCTAGCTTCTCAGGTAGGAGTCCTGCTAACCTGTGCCTGAGCTAGAAAAAGCCATGTCAAGTCGACAGTGGTTCGCTGAGGTGGTTTTTTGTTCATGAGAAGGTCAAGCCTAGTCCAAAATCCTTCATCCAGCACCTACATTAGGTTGTGTTTGACAGGTTTCAAACCAGGACTGTTCCTGCACTGAGCCTCAGGGCAGCCAGCTCAGGGGCAGCATGCTGATCCTGCTCTGCCTCT